GAAAATCGGGCAAAGCCAACCGAAGTAGTTCGCTCTCACCTTCGACCATTCTTCTGACTACCCATATTACGTGACAAATCTACCGGATATATACTTAACTCGCTGAAAAAGTTCAGTTAACGAGTCCACATCATATCTGAAGAGTCCGACCAATGGTCCTCCTTCGACCTTGGTTGCCATTTCGACTGGCAGCATTCAGCGTTAGAACCCTTCTACAGATCGGACAACAGTGCACCCTGGATTTATTCGCTATTGATGTCCATTGCCTTTCTAAGAATCGGCTACAGAACTCCAGCATGGTAGTTAAGTTGACATCCCATGCTGAGCTCGGGATCAAATGTTTCCTGCATTTATCTGGTGACACGGAAGCGGCTGCAGCTGGTTTGACTGGTCTTGGTATCACACTGGTGACAAAACCGCGGCCTCGCTGCTCGATTGCATCCCAACTGACGGCCGATTGTGAGCGGTTCGACTTCAAGGCTCATGCAGGATCAATAGGCATCGTACAGAGAGACGCAATTTGTTAGCGATTTCCGCCTATGCTCCAACCAACTGCATTTGAATCGGTTAAGAACGACTTTTATCGCGGACTCCACGAGGTTTTGAGCAAAGCCGAAGAATGCGACGTCGTCGCCCTTTCCAGAGACTTCAATGTACGTATCGGTCGCCTGCTGCCACGCAAACGTCATCTTGGGGACAGTCCTTCCCTTGATGATATTCGCTCTGACAACGGAGATAGACTTCTCAAATTATACGAGGACAAGTGGCGCTTTCTCGCGAACGCGAACTTCAGTTTCAGATGACGGGGAAGTGGATGGAACTGTACATCGCTTTGGTCCACCTATCTCGACCCAGATTACGCTCTCGTTTGTGCGGACATGGGCATGCTCTTTATTTATTTCTCGAAACAAAAGCACCATACGCTGGATACCAACTGGCTAGCCAACCCCTCCATTCAACTGTCTTATAAATCTTACTCATCAGGTGTGCTCGCTATTGCTCCATTTACAGACGCCGAACACCCCTGAAATTTTTTGCAGAAGGCTTTGCTCCCTACCGGTCAATCATGTTGTGGAAACGCTGGGCGTCCACTGAGAGACTGGATCTCCGCTCGACTTTTGGAACTGTTGGACCGTCGCCTAGTTTTCTTAGTTGATTCAAGTAGTGGTGAAGTCCGTCGCAACCTCAGCCAACAACTCAAGCAAAGCTTGCGTAAAAATCACGAAATTTGGTAGTCTCAACGTGCTTTAGAGATGAAGACAGAGATCACTCTGGAAAATTTCGCAGGCTTTTCCAGCTCATTCGGACCATTGGCCACAGAAGACATGGCGTCAGTGAAGCTATTTGCTAGGTTGATAGATCACCAATTTTGTGTAGGCGCATGTACTGCTGGGTTGAGCACTTCCACTCTCAATTTAGTTGAACTCCTACTTCAGTTTGGCTGACAAGTATGCCTAATTGCGCGCCTCGGATCGTTTCACTGAAACCACCCACTGAAGCGGAGGTCTATCTCGAGCTTCGTCAGTTGAAGTGATTCAAGGCCCTTGGCTCAAACGGACTTCCCCCGGTGTTGTTCAACCATGGTGTCGATGTAGTTGTCAGCCAGTTAACAACTCTGTTCTCCAAGATTTGGTGTGAAGTAAAGATTCCCTCCTTTTGGGGCGGGTCGATTGTCGTACCGATCCTCAACAAAGTGCCGTACCTTATCCGCCAATCACAGAGAAATCAGTTTATCCCTCGCCTCCGAAATGCTAACATCCTTTCTACTCCGCAGGTGAACAGCAAATCGAGAAGTAGACTCCAGTGCGGAACGGGCTAATTTGCGTCCTGGTCGAGGGTGTGGACCACATGTTTACGCTCCGCCAACTCCTCGAGCAGCGTCATTTTTACTGCCAGCGTACAATTGTCGCCTTTCTGGACATCCCAGTAGCGTACCACTCGGTCGATCAGCCTGTTTTCTAGTCTTGTGTGCGCAAAACTGTGGTACCCGAAAAGCGTGCAGCCATACTTCATGTTTTACACAACAAGATCTCTGGCAGAATTAGAGCTTATGGCAAGCTCTCTTCACCTTTCGCCGTCACTAGCGGTGTGCGGCAGGGATGCCTCATGTCCCCCTTTTTCGACAACTTTGCAACTGAGGATGTTCCATCAAGCGCTTTGGAAGGTCTACAGAGTTTTGGCGCAACTCACTTGGACTATGCTTATGATGCTGTGTCAGTTGTTGACGACCCACAGATCATATAGGCCATTCTAAAACCGCTTGGAGATTGAAGTTAATGAGCACGGCATGACCTTCGCCCCAACGAAATGTAAAGTTTTACTACAGGATTGGCCTCCACCTGCCCCGTGCAGCTTCTTGAAGGCGCGCAGTTGGAACAAGTAGCTACGTACGTCTAACTTGGGAGCTGCACTTCTGTTGATGGCACCATTGGAAGAGAGATTTCTCTCCGTATTGTCAAAACCCGAGCAGCTTTCTCTAATTTGAGGCAACTGTGGTGTCGTCAGGACGTTTCATACTCGGTAGAGAGCAGGGTCTACAATGCCTGTGTTTACGCGGTATTATGGTACGAAGGTAAATCCTAGCCGATCCGTGAAATAACTTCCCCGTTTGCTTAATCTTCTTCATAAATGTAAATACCTGAAGAGAATTATCGAATTATCGCAAGTCTTCTTCTTATGTCTAAATGACTTGTGTTCGATTCCGGCTTTTGACAACGGTTGTCTGCGGAGGATTACTCGCGTGTGGTTGGAACAACACGTTTGAAACAACGATGTTAGAAGTCACGTCATAAGTAATAGGCGCATCCCCATCAATAATACCGCTACGCCAACTTAGGCGGTTAAGTCACGTCCTACACATGCTTTGCGTGTTTGCCACGGCTCGTCTATTCGCTTGCGCAGGGCCACACTGGAGGAAATCGCGCGGTGGCCAACCTGCTACATGACGACAAAATGTTGAGGCAGTGAATTCCAGTCTAGCTGTTCTCGGCCCTGTATGTCTTCCGGGCTGGGGAGTCAAAAATGAATAACATTGCTAGTCGGAGGCTTTTGATGGCATGGCCTATATTCACGGACAGTAAAAAATTTGCATGAGTCTATGCATTGATTCTACTGATCAACACGCTAATCACTAAACTGACAAAAAAAGGCAAAATGACGATCGTAAAAAGACAAAAAGCTTTTTTCGTATGTTTTTCACTTTGTACTTATTATACACATTCATCCCATGGTTTCCGATGACTCAAGGTCTTTTGTGTGGACAGCTGCTAACGTGTGTACCTAGAAAAATACCCGGCATAGCTTCGATTAGGTAGACAGAGGTAGTGCGTACTAAATTCTATCCAGTCTATGTATAAACTGGTAGTTTGAATGCCAGTTTATGGGCAACTCTAATATGTATACAGTCCAGAGAAGAGCGACTTTTTACCAATGTGTGAAAGACTTCGCCACAGGCAGAGCGTAAGAATCAGTAATGTGTCTGTGTCGTGGACTGTGCAAAGTGAAATATGACATCTGCGGTTGCCTGTTAACGTTGTGAATTGATGATGCTACTGGTAAGATTACTAAATCGATCCAATAATGGATGCAGATCCTTTCATATAAGAAGAGGGTACATCTAATTAATGTCATTATCATCATTATACACGTTAGCTGCAGGTGGAAAACACCTTAGCTATTGTGCCGCAATACAAAGGACCAAAAGAAGAAGAATCAGTGGCACGCCGGTTTAGTCCACAGTAACGGATGGACATCGTTCCGGAGAGCTAACGACCGGCTATCGGGCCGCAAAAAAGTTATATTGTGCTTAACGAATGCGATCGTGATTAGAGTAATGTAAGTAATGTACCACAAAATATCATCTACGTTTCAGAACCATAGGAATAAGTCATTAGCATCACGATAGCCAACACATATAGGTATATTGTACCCGTGCTTCGCTGTCATACAACTAGAAGTTTGGATATGTCGATTTGTTATTAAGGACTAAGTAGTGTAGGATCTGGATGCAATAGGCAAACATTCAGGACCCGGGAGCCTGAACGTCGCCAACTATCGTACGGTTTCGACCAACAGGCTATCGTGCGAAGGTAAAGCAATGGCAGCAAGACTGCACATATGCTGCTTTAACCTCTGCACCTGTTAGTCAATACTACCAACAAGGAATTCACCAGCATACCAAATGTCGATAGACCGCCTGGTTAGCAGATGACAACCACCGGTTCCGACCCGGGCACCGTAGTGAATCGAGCCAAGGATGGAATATTTCAAGTGGTTCCAATATGGAAAGTAAGTGGGTCAACAGGAACCACTCTGGTGGTGATGTATTTCATTTTCCGTTTCCGGATCCGCAGTTGCCCTCGTCAAGCCTTACACCAGCCAGCTCCCGATAAAGTAAACAAGCCCTTACTCGGCAACAGATAGGTGGATATAATAGCAAATGCTATTACCAAATGTAATTTAAACAACCCTACGCACTGATCCAACAAACCAAGCCGAACAAATCCGCCAAGAAGTTGGTTACTACGTTGCTTTGCCCCCGTAAACTTGCATTTAGTAAGTCAACGTCAAATTACAGCCAGTAGCTTAAGTTTGCTTCTCCGAATAGTCAGCAGTAATCAACTGTTTGGTTCATCTTATAGGGAACAAAAGAATAAATTAACTTGTAAACCATGAAATTGCACACCGTACATCTTAGAAACTCTTCCTATGCACATGAAGAATGCCTAAATACTAGAACCTATACTAATCCCAAAGGCGAATGGGTTCTAATTTCAGACGCATTTTCTTCAGAACGGAGATGTAGTCTCTTAAATAAACGATAGCTATTTAACTGAAGAAGGTCAATAAAGAGAAGGGTTTTCTTAGCACGTGGTAACTGAAAATCACGGGGGTATTACGCCGTGGTAAAGGGAAGCTGTGCTAATTATCCAACTTGAGTATATTATGCGAGTGTGACAAAAAAGTATTGGCACAAAGTCCTCTTGCTTTTATACACTCACCTGTAATTCGGTATCTTCAAAAAACCGATCGTAATTTGGCCTGCCATTGATCACGGAAAAGATAACTTCACCGTCATATAGCGGCTGCAAAGTGGAATACTCCTCTTGACAAATCACTTCGTCTGGCTTTGTGAATACCGGAACAGCGTGGTAATTCATTCCAAAATAAGTGTAGCAGTTGCTTGAAAAGTAAGCCCAGTGAGTCCAGTCCGATTGTTCGTCGAACCTCTTATATATGACCATGGCATGAGGTCGAGGCGAGCGGAATTGGAGATATACGTAATTGACATGAAACTGTGTGCCTGGAAGGATATTGGTAGATCGTGCGAAAGTGCGTGACTTGTTAGTAGTGATGCAAGTTTAATGAATAAACTGGATTAGTGGTTGATCTTAAGACTTGCAGACGAGCAGCTAAGTTAGTGAGCTGATGAACACGAGATCCTACTCCGATGCTCTGAGACATGCACGACAAATGGATATTTTGCCAGGGTTGACAGATATCCTGCCCCCCACTCAGTTATCCATACCAGGAAGTGAGAGTAAGGTAAATTTTGGGTAGAACAAAATCTCACGGCGCTGCCGGGGCGAAATGAAACAAGGTGAAGCACGCTGTAATAGGGAATAGTTTATCGACAAGAGCATTCACCTCTTCTAGGTGCAAACTCCAGCACCTGCTGACTGAATTTGGAGAGGACATTTCTCATATCTGAATGGGACTACCTCATGTCGCAAATGCAAATGATTTAGACCTATCACCGAAAATTTCGTCGACTACAAACTGTTGGTGGCGTGAACAACCACCCATTCTGCGACCATGAGCCAGATGGATAAAGAAAGCCATACCCAAACGGGCAGTACTACGATTGCCAATCTCAAGTTAATTGGGCAGTATCAGATGAGCCTTAGTACTGGGTAACGGAAAACTTATCCAGACTTCTGCTAGTACTCAGGGGCTCTTTACTTTGTAATGAAGATGGATGAGATCTTTCTATGGCTGTAAGAAAAGATCAACAATCCGTCTCAGAACAGACATGTGTACCACTGGAATCTACATCTGTGTCATTGCGAATTCCGCAAAGGAATAGGGAGCACTGCACTGAAAAGCGTGTAATGCTCCGGTGAATGGAGAAATGAAGCATCTTCGAAAGATTACCATATATATATATATATATATATATATCAACATCAAAGTCCAAGAAATGGACATAAAGCCACCAAACAAACCATAGGAATCAAAAGAAAGTACAATTTGATAAAAAAATAAAACTAACGAAACATTTTTCTATGTTTTCACAAGCCGGTTTTTTCTTTCTCTATGCTTTTCTTTGTTTGATGGATTAAACATGTGAAGTTATTCAATTATGTACACAGTTCTTCCACTGCTTCCGGATGGAAGCCATGCCTTTAAGTGTGTTAGACCACTGGCACTCCTCATCCTTGGAATCCCATCTAGGAAGACGTACGGGTCCATCAGCGGCTAGACGTGACGTCAGCGATTTCAAGTGCTGTCACCAGGTGGAAGGCTGATCACCTTTTTTTCATCTCCAGCCAGGTCCCTGAGAAGCGATTAGAGTGCGGCGCAGCAAACGCTCAGGTGCCATGCATAGGACGTGACCGAGCCGTCTCAAATGGCGCAGCAAAACCAGCTTGTTAAATGGGATATTCGCATTCCCCAAGACGCGACTTCGAACATCATCACTGTGAACTCGGTGTTGTCACCATGCGCGAGAGATCCCTCTAAGAGCACCATTTTCGAAGACGAAAAGACGACGAATTTCCTCCATGCGAATTGGCCGTGACTCGCCCCCATACAACAGTTCCGAAGGAACTGTTGCATCATAAACGCGGCCCCTTATCGAGATGGAGACGTCACGACGACTTGACATGGCACACCTACATAGCCTCCCCGAACGACCATACCTGGGATGTCTACACAATACTAAGAAACCACTGTGTCAAACTCGTCCGGGAGGATAAACTGAAGAACCAACAAGGTTTGGTGGAAAAGTTTCGCTCCAATCCCAAACTGCTACACAGATACGTAAACAGTTTGCGCCGTGTAAGGCTAGGTATTTTTGCTCTGCACACGGCATGCGGGTTAGCCCAAACAGCACAAGAGGCGACCAACGTCCTTGGACAACAAGTTGGCTGTTCCTTCTAAAGCGCGCAACCACCATACATACTGCCTAAGCAGATAACGCCGCCATCAGGGCTAAATCACATATCGTTCACCTCCGCAGGTGTACCAAAGAGACTGATGTCTCTGCGCGAGTTCAGCTTCCCGGGTGCAGGCGGAATTCACCTGAAGGCGTTGAAAGTTGCTGCCATGAGTTTGTCAAAACCACTAGCAATTTTCTTTCAATGATATCTGAACGAGATGCACGTCCCCACGATGTAGAAGCACAGAATCATCAAGCCAATCTACAAAAGTGGCAGTCGTGCTGAACCATCAAATTATCGCCCGATAACACTACTTCCTGTGGTCTCAAAGGTTATGGAGTCCATTGTAGCAGAGGCTTTGATGGGGTACCTATAGAACAACAAAATTCTCGTTCCGGAGCAGCATGGATTTTGCCAAAATCTCTCCTATAACACTAAGCTGTTGGTTGCTCGTGCAAGCTGGACGGAATCCTTGGACGCTGGTGTAGGAGTCGACGCGGCCTACTTGGATTTCTCAAAGGCATTCGACCGTATAGACCATCGCATTCTCCTCCACAAACTCCAGAAATATGGAATCGGCGATCATGTTCTGGGCTGGATAGGAGACTTTCTCGTTCAACGTCACCTGAATGTGAGGGTTAGAAGCAACCTGTCGGAATCCATCGAAGTTCAATGCGGCGTACCTCAAGGCTCGGTACTTGGACCCCGCCTGTTCCTGGTTTTCATAAATGATCTCGCGAGCGTGCTATCTTCTAACTGTTTGCTATTTGCCGATGACCTAAAGTATGGCGCACTATAGCTGCAGTGGAGGTTCCCGCAGTCATCATCATCATTATACACGTTAGCTAGAGGTGGGGAACACCTCAGCTACTGTGCCGCAAGGTTCCCGCAGTGTTACAAGAGGACCTGGACAAAGCGTACACATGGTCCATCGACAACATGCTGCATTTCAACATCACCAAGTGCAAGGTCTCAGTATACGGCACAAGAGTGTGCACAAGTACCGCCTAGGACCACAAATTCTACAGCGGGCTTCTCACGAGTGCGGTCTTGGCGTGATAGTTCAAGACGACCTCGGTTGTTTGAGGCAGACTGAAAAGGCAGCTAAGGAAGCAAACCAGTACCTAGGCTTTCTTCGCAGAGCTTTCGGGAAGTTTGACCCTTCAGTCTTTCCAAAAATGCTTAGTGCGTACGTGAGGCCGCACGCGGAATACGCTATCCAAGCGTGGCAACCCTGGCTCAAGCACCATCTCACCGCACTCGATACTGCACAATATAGGGCAACGAAGAGCGTCACAGGTTTGACCAGCATCCCCTACCCACTCAGGTTGAAGACTCTCAAAGTATGCAGTGGACGTTATCGGCGTCTAAGGGGAGATCTCATAATGGCGTACCAGATCCTGAGAAACCCCAACCACCCATGCCATCCCCTTCTACTACTCAGCCAAAACACCTCGGTAAGAGGTCACCAGTTTAAGTTAGTCACGCAGTACAGCCGCCTGGAATATCGGCGAAACTATTTCTCCCTTCGAATGGCCTTGGAATGTCCTCCCGGAACATGTAATTAATGCACCCATCCTATCCCTTTTCAAAAACACCTTGACGATACTCTGTCACATTTACACTACGTGCTATAGCCCATGACCACCAGATGCTGGCACTAATGCACAACAGACAGTGGACAGTGCTATAACCCTACTAGAGAATGAGTCACTTCAAACCCCTTGCACATAATTCGATAAACCCTAATACTATAGAAACTGGATTTCTGTATCCTGTGGACCCAAGATAGTTGCACACGAGTAAGCGTTGTCCTTGCTATCTTTTTTATTTTTTCTCGCCTATTATGTGATCAATAACCACTCCTCTTATTGCTTTGTGTGCGTACATTCTCAATTCAAACTCCTTTTATACGACAGTGCAGTTCCCTCTGTAATCGCCCAAACTAACGACTTTATTATCCCTTGCTCTATCTTTTTTGTCACGCTAAACGCCCTACGGGACATGTCAAGAACCTGCTTTTTTACCCGTTATAAATCATTGTTCATAAGTGGTTCAGATTGTCAAAGACAGATCAAGTTTTAGCGAAGCAAAGAAAATCCTCCCTTTTGATAGTGCAGTCAGTAGAGATACAGCTCGCAATGTAGACAAAACTATCTACCTGTCCAAGTTGTGCACCTTCAAGGGTAAGCACGGTAGTGTGTGTGGGCTAATGCTGAAGTAACACTACAGTTCGATGGGGCGAGTCTCATGTCATACTTAGAGGCTTCAACCTTTAAACGAGCCAGAATGAGTTGCATACGTTGTGAATGGTCCCCAAATAAGGCGATATAATCAGCATAATCTAAGTCGGTCGCGCGCTCACCAGGTAGAAGCTCTAGGCCAAAATGTTAAAAACCTTCAAGAGCACTCAACAGAACGTCTTCAATTGCGAAGTTAAAGAGGAGTGGGGACATAGGGCTGCACTGTCGCACAACGATAGTGACAGTGAAGAGCGAGAAAAGCTTGTCGTAGACCCTCACTCTGCCGAGGATTTGAAGGTAAAGTACGGATAGGACGGTGGTCGACTTCCCTAACAACCCGTTCCTTAGCAAGCAAAGCCATAAAGCAAGTCAATCAACCGGGTCAAATACAGTCGGTATGTCTAAGATTGCGATGATAGTGGGCCTGTGGTAAATGTGGCGATGTTCGGGGAGTTGGCGGAGCGTGAAGATTTGATCCACGCATCCACCGTCAGGACGGAAACCAGATTACTTTTCGCGGTAGTATGATTCACGTATTGGGGATGGTCTACGTGGTAGAATGGTTGCCAATAGCATAAAGACAACCGAAATGTGACTAATTCCCTGATGATAAACACATGAAGTGCGTGCTCGTTTCTTGAAAATCAGGACAATAGCCGATTCGCCTCAAGGAAAAGGCACTTTTTCTTCATGCCTGATTTTTGCGAGCAACGCGGTCAACTGGTAAATGATTTCCATTCCGCCGTGCCTGAACAGTTCCGAAGGAAATCTGCCTAAACCGGCAGCCTTGAATAGCTTCAAGAGTCGAATCACGTGGTAGACTTCCGTTTCGCTGGGTTGATTCAATGTGACAAGCCAGCGTAGACAACAATGTGTACTGCATGTGCTGATGGACGGTG